AGGAACGGTGTGCTGCCTCCCTCCCCTAGTCTCCATGCCTGGTTCTGCTTTCCCGTCCCTGCTTCTTCACTTCCTCCTCCCCCAACTGGCTCTGTTTTTGTCTCTGTCTTTGTCTCAGTCTCTGTGTCTCTATCTCTGTCTCTGTCCCTGGGTCTGTGTCTGTGTCTCTGACTCTGTGTGTGTGTGTGCGTTTGTGTGTGTGTGTGTGCCTGTCTGGAAGAACTGAAATGTACAACCACGGGTTTCTCAGCTAGCTGGCTGGCTACCAAGACCTGCCTTCTTTCTCTCAATTGCAGGCCGTGCAGCTGCAGTTGGCTTATAAAACCCTGGTGCCACCCAAGCCCGTTCAAGGAAATTCCCCTGGCTCCACCTTCTACCTTCTACTTTTTACCTCAAACCTATTTTCTTTTCACATAAGCTTCCATCTCCTGCTCGACTGCCTCATCCAGGTGGATTGGCCACCTTCTTCCCAGATTCTTTGGCTTAATGGCTCCGTTTGGTGACCTTGGCTCTAGTTTCTGTTTTTGTTTCTGGTTGTGTCTTCCAGCTTTCTTCATCTCTACCTTGCCTGGATCCACTGGCTGCACTTCAACTGTAGGCATCAAGAAGGTGTGACAGCCTCGGGAAACCGCAGCCCCCAAACACCTCTCACAATTCCACTTCATAAGACTGGCTGGATCTCTTGGCGCTGGCCAAGGGAAGCTGCTCAGGTTCATGTCTTAAACCCCAAGTTACTGACCTGGAGCAGAAGAGAAGGGAGGAAGGAACCACCTGAGGCAGGCTGGAGAAAGAATGGGACTTGGGTACTGTGGAGAGTGAAAGAACTAGAGAGGAGGGAAGGAGTTTCCAAGAACTTTACTGTGGATTGAGAAAGGGATCATTCTTCGCATTCTTGAAGAGAGCTAGGTAAAGGTTGAGTTTCCAGTTGGTGGTTGGATTGCCCTGGAGACAGGTCTGTACAGAAATGAAACACCATGGCACCACAGCTCCCTGAGATGTCTGAGGGGTCTTCACTGGCCTCTCTCCCTGCCAAGGGCCTTCTCCCTGTACATCTTCTTGGCGATTCCGTCCTCTGCCCCAGACACCCGGATTCTCTCCCTTGCTTGAGCAACTTCCTCCAAATTCTATACTGAGTCTCTGAACACTTCTGAGAAGGTGTTGTCTTTAGTGTCAGTCCCTTAGTCTTCAATACCTCACCATCCTTTGCTCGGAAGTTAGTGACTTAGTCAAGCTCCTGAAGGAAGCATCTATGAATGATGAGCTATGTGACCTAGCAGGGACTGCTAGGTTTACAATTTATATTTGTGTGCAAGACCTAACACAGATATCTTTACACAGTTTAAATTTTTCCAGCCTTGAATTAGACCAAACCCTAGAAGAGCAAAAGATACTCCAAGCCTCTTGGAAGGCAGAGCCAATCTGCTTTCTATGGCAGATCCTAGGGAGGTTGCTTAGCAACAAGACCTTTGAGGTTTGGCTGCTGAGGTCCAATCCCCAGCTCGGCCAGGACTGGCTAATCAGTAGTGGGCTGGCTAATCAATAGTGCTTATCCTCTTTAAATCTGAGTTTCCTCAACTGTAAAATAGCTTCTCCTTCACGGGGTTTCCATGAGGATTAACAGATATTTATGTAGAGTCTCTATAGAGAACCTGACACATGGTGTTCAATAAATGCCAGCTTTATTTTTGGAAACCTTATTTAGGTATTTGGTAGCCTAGTGTCCAAGCAAGACTCTGTAGGAGCCATGTGTTGCTGGAAACACCATGGTGAAGAGCTGTCATCGGTGGCTTAAGGCTCACTTTGGGGCTCCAAGAATCACCTTCACCCTTGGCCCCCTTCTGGGTGAATCTGAGATGGGAGTCCACTGTTTTCCTTAGACAGCTCTAGGAAAGATACACACTGGGAAGTATGCTACACTAGCATTCTGCAACCCAGGGCTGGAAGGCCCAGGTCCACCTACTGTGACTGTAGATGAAGCCTACCATCTGTCCTGCAGATGCATATAACAAAGTGCCTGGACATTACCACTGCACCCACACAGGTCTCCAACCCCTCCTGGGCACTAGGAACTCGAACTTGTGTTTCTGTTGTAGGCCTCCCCTCATCCACAGCTCCCCCTCTGAAGATGCAGTCACCAAATTAACCCTGTCAAGCAGTACCCTTGGGTGGAATGGAAACTGCTTCCTCACAAAGACGCAGTGCTATAGGCAGTTGTCAAGTCTTCTAGCACCTTCTGAACCCTTTTTTACATGAAAGCATTCCTCACTCTAAGGACATGCTTTCCAGATGTGTACAAGAGTATCACTCCCCTGGATTCCTTTGCAGCTGAGGCACAAGCAGGCAGTAGAGGGGCTATAGGAAAGGCAAGGTGACGTGCCAGGGCAGATGTGGCATGGACTCTGAAGGCAGTAGTAGCAGCGATGGTCAGGTTCCCGGCAGTGATGCAAATCTTAGCATCCAGCTGGTGGCAGCAGCAGCCACAGCAGTTTTCCCATAAGGCCAGATCTGCCATGTGCAATGGAATGTTATTCTGGATGCGCAGCCTCGAGCCTGCTTCTCCGGGCTCCACTGATGCTGTGAGACAACAGACGTCCTTTAACTGAACCTTTCCTGTTTAATCAGCCAGAGTTGTCTTCTATGCTTATAGCACGGATCTCTGATTCTTATGGATGAGAATCATAGGGACACATGGTGACAATTTAAAAGTTCAGTCTTCCTAAAATCTCTCTTGTTCTCTAAATCTGTCCCACAGCCTTTTAATTCCTTGTGCCCTGGTCCTGTCCCAAAGGAAAACCTCAGTGTCATATGGTTTCTAGGCAAGCAGAGCAAACAGTAACCCTGGACATTACCACTGCACCTGAGAGGGGAGAGGGAACATGAGTATTTGTCAAAACAGCTTCTGCTAGGAGAGGTCCAGTCTGTCTTTGTCGGGATGATTCTAAGATAGAGCTACAGGCTGAGGCCAAAGTCAAAAGACAAGCACAAAGCAAAGCGACCTGGGTCCCAGGCTTGAAGGGTTGGAGGTGTGAAGTCAAGACCAGGCAGGAAGCATGATAGGAAAGGAGTTCAGGACCAAAAGGTGAGACACACTATCTATTCCTTGGCCACAACTCCTGTCCAGGCCTTCGGAGAAGTCACCAGGTTAAGCTCTTAAAGGGCTCGGCACTGCTATCAGAAATTATGGCAAGGCACCCAGTTGAACATCCACAAATTAACCTCCCTAGACTCTTGGGTAACTGAAGAAGGAAGGCTTGGGAGAACTTGAAAGCTATGCTAGGTTGTTTATCCTCTCCTGCTTAGGGCCTTATTGTTTCCAAAAACTCTATGATCAGAGCAATCGTCTAGGATGCAGCTGGCTTTTGGGTAAAGAACAGAGGAGGGGTGAAGACATGGGGTGGCTGAAATGTGAGCTGTGGGTCCATACTTTTCTGAGCCATCTCTTTCAGGTAACTGGCTAAGATAGGGAAGTGCAGGCCAATAAGGATGAAAGCCAAGCAGAGAGAAAGAAGGAGGAGGAGGAGGAAGAGGAGCAGGAGCAGGAGGAGGAAGGAAGGAAGGAAAGAAGAAAAGAAGAAGAAGAGGAGGAGGAGGAGGAAGAAGAGGAAGAGGTGGGGAGAGGAGAAAGAGAGAGAGAGAGGTTTGATGGCATAGTGTCAAGAAGTTTTCCTTTGTGCTCAAGCTAGTTTGAAGCGATTTCTGCTCCTTGCGGCCAAAAGAGGCCAGGCCATCACAAGCTCCCAGGACAGAGTCTTATACGTACCTACTTCATCTTCCCTCTCTAGTTCTGTTGGTGTTAGTGGGAACTGAGCCATCATTTCAGGGAAAATGAGTGATGTGCTTCTTTTGGTGAGCAGCATCCCCCTTTCACGCATTACTTAAGGAGTTTCCCTCAACAGAGCCCATCATAATCCAAATACCCACAAAAACACCAGCCTGAGGGCATGCACTAAGTCACAGGCTCTTAGAGAAACTTCAGCGTTAAGTCCCCAGAAGTCTTTAGTCTTTAATTCCATATAGATTTCATCAGAGAAAAGTTGCAGGCCCCTTCCTTCCCTTGGCCCTCATCTTTGACCCTTGGACATCAGATTGCCAGGCTAGAAACTAGCTGGTTGTCCCTACCAAGTCCAGCACTACGAGAGTCAAATAAAACAAGGCTCTCTCCCACCTGGAGATATCCATATTTGGGGATCAGCTCCAAACTGAGCCAAACTCCCTTGTCCTATCCCGGGGATGCTGGCACAGCCCCCAGGCCTTATCCCAGCAACAGCCATTGCCTTGTTTCCTGGCATGGAAAGTTCTCTCTTCTCTCAGCCTCATTCATTTAACTCTTAATTAGACACAGTCCCCCACAGGGCTGTGTCCTCCTCCGCTGTGATATCTGACAAGCTCCTGGGGGCCTCTCTGAGACTCCCCACTGAGTTACATGATCAGAAGGCAAGTCTTCCAGCCCTGCATCTGATCATGGCTTACCCTCCAACCCCCCAGGCCCCAGCGCAGAAAGGCAGGCACATCCCCGGGAGGCAGCTCTCCCAACCCTGGCTTTTTAGCTATTAGAAACTCCTTTTTAGTACTGAGCTAAAATCTGCCTCGCTTCTATCCCATTCTCTTCCCATTTTACCACAGAAGTACTTCACTCTCATATCCACAGGATAAGGCCTGAGTTTATTTGAAAACAGATTATTTTGTCCTTATCCCCCAAAAAAGTCTCTTTTCCACGTACACAATTTGCTTTCTCTTTTCTTCCTTATGGTTCTCTGGCACATCACCACTCTATCCACTCTTACATGGTTCCTTTCCAGTTTATAAACAAACACCAGATTTACCTTGTAGCATCAGAATCAAAATCTACTCTAAGTGAGGCATTAAAAAAAACACACATCAGTTAACTATAATGCTATCCCTCTCACACAGTATCACTGTACAACTATAGAATTTAAATAGCTGGTAAGGCAGAAATGGCAAGTTGCCTCCATTTATCCCTTTCCCTTTCTTTTTATTAGCAGAACCCAAATTTTTAGTTGGACACAAATGAAAAAGTTCAACCCTAATCCTCCACTGCAGCTGTATCATCCTGAAAGCAACTTCTAACCAAAAAGACAGAAGCAGAAATGTGTAAGACACTTCCTGGAAGCCTTCTTCAAAGTCAGACAGAAGATCATTCTTTCCACCTTCTTCTCCGTCCTGCCTCTTGGAAGTCAGATGGTAGAACTCATATTGGACCGTGAAGATCAGGATACACTGGAGCAATTAGACAGAAGGAGTCTCCTCCCTACCCGCCTCCCCCGTGAGGCTGGCTTACCAAGTTGGGCTTTTCTAGCTGTACACTTGTTTTATGCACAAAATAAACCACGCTTTTGTTTAAGCTATAGTTTGAGGGTTTTCTGAAATATGCATTCAGACTTTATCCTGAATTTACCATACTGAGGTCATTGTGATGGGTTGTATATATACGCCTAAGAAATCTCTTAACTGGATAATTCTAAAAAGAAAAAAAGGAAACTCCAGTTCTCCTCACTAGTTCTTTTTTTAATTTTACTTCTTGTACTGATTAAAGGAACTTTACTGAAGCTCAAGGATGATGGAAAGACATTATAGTAAGGAAAACCTAAATTTTGATGTATTAGTTTTCTATGGCTGCTCTAGCAAATTACCACAAACTAAATGACTTCAAACGAGAAAATTTTATTCTTTTAGCATTCTGGAGGCCAGAAGTCCCAAATCAGTATCACTGGCCTGAAATCACTTTCTTGACAGAGCCATGTGCCCTCCATGGGCCTGAAAGGAGTATTTTTTCTTGCTTCTTCCAGCTTTGGTAGCAGCCAACACTCCTCGGCTTGTGTTCACATCACTCAAATCTCTGCCTCTACCTCTGTGGTTCTGTTGCCTTTCTTTTTTAGTGTTATATATCCTTCTTATGAGGGTACATATATTTCACTTAGGGCCACCCAAATAATCCAGGATAATCTCTATATTTCAAGATCCTTAATGAAGTATGCAAAGTTATTTTTGCCATATAAAGTAACACATACCAGTGCTGGGAATTAAGATATAAACATCTTTGAGGGGCCATCATTTCAGCCTACCCCATACACATATTAAAAATGGTTCTTAGCAGAGTTTAAGCCAAAAGGCCACAGTGGTGGTTTACAACAGTACCCCCCCCCCCAACCCCCAGTTCCTGGTCTGCTGCCATGCCTCAGGAACAGATTGCTGTCCTGCACAAATGTCCTGGTACATTTCCCCATAGCCAGTGTGCGCTTATATTACTGACTCCCCCAGGCCCAAAGAGAGGAACCTGTTGCCAATGCTTTTCTCCGCCACTGCCCTCACATCCCACGGCCAAGTTCACCTGTCCCATTTTCATCTTCTGTACCAGGATTGGCCTCTTCCTGGGATGATTGACAGCAGGCTACCCAAAGAGAGAAAGTCACATCCTAATATTCTTAAAGTAAACCAACCACCTGGAGGAGTCCAGGGGCTGACACCCAAAACTATGATGCTCTGATATGCTGATAATTTTAAGTTAAAGGAATTTAGGAAGCAGGGGCTACTAGAAGAGGCTGGATTCTTATATACCTTTATCTGTCAAAAGTCTGGACCTTCTAAAGAAGAAAAAAAAACTATCTAAAGTCTCTTATCTGAGTTTTCATTAATTTTTTATCACAGGAAGAAACACTGAAGTTTGTCAGGACAGATCTTGGGAATCATTTACAAACCACAGTCTGTCCTGCAGTCCAGTGGATATTGTTCCAGGCCACTGAATGTTCTCCAAGCCCACGGAGTTCCCCCATTATTTGCTATCCTCCTTACTCTCCCTTTTCTCCCCTCCCTTTGGAGAAGGTTGTAAGATTCTGAATCCTGTTGGGATAGTGGGTAAATACACTTTGTGATCGCCTTCATGTACATTCATAAAATGTGTATCTTTACTCCAATTAATCTGTCTTCGGTCAGCCTGTCCCATTCACATCCCAGAGAGTCTTCCTCTGCAGATGGTCAATCCAGATCAGATCCCTACACAAGTCATCTACCAGTGGAACATGTTCTCCAGTACAGATTTGAACAAAGTATGGGGACGAGTCTGTTTGCTTATGCATTTCTTTGCCTGCCACTTTCTCAAACAGGGCTACACAAAAAATTCAAAGAAGAGAGCCTTTGTGCACAGGTCCCTGCTTTGCAGTAGGATGGCTTAGGGCTGCTGGCAACTCCTCTTTCTAAAAGCAAATGCTGACTTGGAGAGACAGTCAACCCACACAGGATGGACCCAGGCCTCGGGAATTGCACCCATACCCTCTGCTCCTCAATTACTCATAGGAAGAAAATAGCCGCTGATTTAGGCTTTTAGTTACATGCTAAAAACTGGAGGTAAATTAATTAAGATATAACTTCAACAACACCAGCCTTCCCTCATCAACAGTTCCTAAGACAGGACAGGCAGCATTAATTGTTGCAATTAATTAGGCATTAAACTGATAATGGGTACAGCTGCTAACAATTAACAGCTAATTATGTCAAGCACTTTAACCATTTCACAAAAGAAATGGAAATTGGAGGGAAGGGAGAGGGAGATGAAAAGAAAGAAAGCGCTTACCTTGTAAACAAATGAGAGGCGGTTAGTTCCAAATGCAGCTGGACCCGGCTGTAGAAATGACGCACAAAGTTTGAGTCCTGTCCCCAACAAAGCTCTACTGCACGGAAGCCACATGAGTCACGTTTGAGTAGGAAAGATGGGGTAGTGATCAGAGCAAACTCTTGCCATGTTGCACCCTCAGTACTTGGCGTATGATGGCACATGTAATCCCCACAAAAGTACTTTATGGTAGTGACTATTATTGTCATTCCCATTTTGTGGATAAGAAAACTGAGGCAAAGAGAAACTAGATGACTTGCCCAGTGTTACACATTCACTACTGTTGGTTAAAGCCTGGGTTCAAATCAAGGTGCGTTAATAACAGCCCAAAACAAAATGGACCTCATTAATTTGCTGAACCCGTAATAGTCCTTAAAAGCAAGAAAAGTGGTGTCTTATTGAACCATCAGCCCAACCAATCAATTTCAAGAGAAAAGAAAAAGTAGTTCAAACTGGAATGAGCATTTTCTAAAGGGATAGAGCTGACAGAGATCCGCAAATTCAAGTCACCCGCATCCAGACTTATCTTTCATTTGCAGTGCTGACTTCGAAGACCAATCTGCTGCTGCACCGTGGAGATCCATTAGCCTGCTGGGAGCTGCCACGCATCTCTTCAGAGAACCTCAAGATCCATTTCTCCGGTGGATTTCACAGCAAATATCATTGGTTGTTTTTTACTTGAGGCCTTTGTTTCAACAAGTTTTATTATCTCATGGGAGAGAAGGGGACAGGAAAAGAATTGGGCCAAACTAGTAACACACACACACACCCTTGTTAGATGACCACGAACAAACAAAGGAGTTACAGCATAAAATAGAAGAAAGGATTTGCTTGACGCCCCATGGGGTGGTAAATAAAGCCAAGGCTGAAAACCAAGGTTCCCGGGGCTGGGGATTTAGCTCAGCGGCAAAAGCGCCTGCCTGGCAAGCTCAAGGTCATGAGTTCGGTTCCCGGTACCAGAGAAAAAACCAAAAAAAAAAAAAAAGAAAACCAAGGTTCCCTCCGCTGTGCATTAGTGGATCTCAAATTTCCCAGAACTAGGCATTCCCAGAGATTCCGATTCAGGAGGCCTAGGAAGGGCCAGGTAGCTGCATTTCTGAGCCCCTGAGTCAGTGGTGGGGAACCCACACCACACGTGCTGCAGCCGCTGTCTGTACCACTGAAAGCTCTGACGGGCTCACCACTCCTGCTCTGAGTGATGTCACACTGCTGGAACACAGAACACAGTGTGAGAATCGCTGCTCTGTACGGTCTCATGTGTGGTCCTTCGTCCTGATCCACAGCCTTCAGTTTTCAAGGCCTGCTAATCTTCCCCAGGGTGAATTCCTTTGCCCAGTCTACCCAAGGGGCACTGGTGTTTGCACCAGCTCCATTTACTTGGTAGTTCAAGTTACAGTGCTTGATTACCCTTTAACAGGACCTGTTTTTAAAGAGAACCAGGGCCAGAGCCAATGGCCTTCGTTCCCACCCTTTTCTCCTACCTCCTGTCCTTCCTAGCTTGAGAGTGGGAGAAGGTCTATGTTGATCAGGAGTAAAAGGCAAGTCTGCCAAATTAGAACAGTATTGGCGTGACTTCTCAGGACATAGGTGCTCCCTGGCCTTTGTTAACATTACCCTTGTCCCCACACCAAGACTTCCAAGGAGGCTGACACCTGCCTTCTCTCTTTCCCAGAGGCAAGCCCTTAATGCCCACCCCTGACCTTCATGGCCTCTCCTTAATCCACTCCCCCATCGTCCTGCTGGAGCTGACTGAACCCAGAGCTACAGGGGGAGGTGTGGGTGTCACACCTCCCGAAGTATATGTGCCCAAGGATGGTCTGTCCAGAACACAGGGACTGGAAGTTGGAGGTATATGGAATATATCACCACCACAAGAAGCACCTTTATGCCAACTGGTTTTAGGTGGTATGCTTGAGCTATGAAAGAAAAATGTCCCAGAAACAGTTGGCCTACCCAAAGTAAAATTTTGAATCTTCTGCAACCACATATCTCTCTCTTCTAGAATTTATGTTCTCTCTCTCAAAAAAACTTTGGCTCTGGAATCATAACGGGAAGTCTCTGGTAAAATATGGGGAACATCATGATCTCCCCAAGGTCATTTAAGAAAAGATCACAAGTCACCTTTATACGCTATTTGTAGAAATTGAAATTGTTCCCTTCTCTATGAAAGAAAACACAACCACATAGAAAAGACCTTTAAATATGTCATTTTCCTTCTTGAAATTGGTTCTGAAAAAAATAACTGGACAAAGGTGAATGTGCAAGGACATTCACTCCAGTATTATTGATAATTGTAAAAGAATAAATGACTTAAATGCACAACTAACAACAGAATTTTGGTCAAATGAACCATAGGATATACACTCACTGAAATATTATGCAACTAATAAAAATGATGTTATATACACACAAAAATGATTAATAACAGTGCTAAATTGTAAGAGTTACTCCATAAAGCAGTACACAATGAATAATATTATTTTTGTAAAATTGTATGTGGCTGTATATTACCTCTGGAGGGGAAAAAACATTTAAAGGACACATATAAGAATGTTAATAGTGATTATCTTTACATGATGAATATATGGGAAATTTCTGAGTTTTTTGTTTTATGCTAACTTTATAAATTTTATATATTTATGTATTTTCAATGTGTCTCCTACATCAAGCATACACAGGAGTCTGAAAAAATCATAACATAAATGAAATAATTACTGGTAATATGATTTTAGGTGTCAGGA